CAAAACTCACCTGTTTCTGAGTTGAATGGGCTCAGACGTTGGGGAAATAATGTACATGTATAGTATATTCCGCAGGCCAAGTATGCAGGGGCCCGAGAGACTTTGGGCTGAAATATACATATATTTACATCGCGGCTTCGTAGGCTCGAGCAAGTGTCATGATCTAGCTCATGTTCGAGGTTTTCTTTAATTCCAAAGACACAACACGATCGACGAGTCGGAGATGCTGTGCAGTGCGCCACCAAACCTAATGTCACGTGTTGATTGCTCTGGCCAGCGCTGGTATATGCGAGAGGCATCCGATATCCCAAGAACGCCCTCACGCGATGGGACGAAACAAGAACAAGACATCCAAGACTCCATGATAACCGCAACAAGACAGAATAGATACGAATAACAAGACGAGAAATCAAGACCCGGGATGACCTCCCACAGTCGAACCAAGACCAAGGCTATGAAAACAGGCATAGTTGTGACAGCCCCAGTGTAGCGATGTAGTTTCAGAGCTCCAGTAACATAAATCAGGAGTGTGAGCCGGGGGTGGGGGAATAAATCAAGAACAGAAATCAGGGCTTCAGAAGAGGCTTGCATGGGTAGTGCTGAATGAACAACAATTTCCACCAGATTCATACCCGGCACATTTTCTAGCCCGTGATCCAGGGTTTGGTCCTTGGAATCACCAAGTGGGAAATATCAGGAGCAATACACCGGACTAAAAAGTCCGAGCCACGGGTAAATCGGGCTATTCTCCGGCGCCAAGGGTATCCACGTATCTTCCCCCCTAAAACCTCCGCACCCGAGAATGCCAACTTCATATCCCACCTGCCGACCTCCCTTGGGGGAAGAGAGCCTAGAAAAAGCGCGAACAAGGTAAAGCTAAGTTAGAGTAGAATCAAGGCCAACGAGCCCAGCCCAGGGCCGTGAGCCTGAGCGGGGAAAGCGTCCGAGAGCAAACCTGAGCCGCGGCTAGTCTGGAGCCACGGAATGGTAATATATGTCGCTGCAAACAATAACGGTGCATGTCACCGTAAAGTCACCAATGTTAGTGGAGGGCGAGCCGGTAGAACGACCCTGAGCTGAGAGAGCCGAGGATAATCGGGAGCAAGGAGCGGAGTTTTGCAGATGTGCCACATATGCCACATGTGGCAGAATGAAAGAGGGGCACCAGAAACATGTTCGGCTAAGTGGGTGGCATTGCGACGCGGGGATGTGAGCTCAGGTCAAATAAGTGCCAAGCAAGCATTAATCACTTATCTGATTCTACATCTCGCCGGGAATTCCACGCTCAGTACAGGACTTAGTATAGGGGTAGTGCAACCAGAACTAGTACGGCACCGGAAAAGGGCTAATCAGACTAGGAAAGGTTAGTCATGTACTACGGGGGAGTTGGCACTAGTCTGGTTGCACGACCCACCTGGTGTTGGCACAAGGTCGTGCAACCAGACTAAGTTGGCACAGCACCCTACGGAGGGTGCTGTGCCAACCAGACTACTGGTTGCATGACCCCTCCGTAGGTCTAGTCTGAGTGGTGTGCTAACCGGACTAGCCCTCATAGGCATCCAAATTACCCTCATTTTATGTATGAAGTAATTATACTTATTTTGTGCCAACCAGACTAATACTTAGAGAGGTTTTGGTCCCCTGTAAGATGACTGTTACTGCAGCAACCACCACACGCTAATGCAACCACTGGGTTCATGCTTAAGACGAGCAGGGGTAAAAAGATATCAATACGATAAATTTGGCTATCGATGTCAATACGACATCTTTTCTGCTTCTTGGCGCTATCTTTAATAACAATTCTCTTGATAAGGTTAGATCGTTCACTTGGCATCAAATATTCCCTTCGGGTGGCAATTATATATTTTGTCAAATGGGATATCTATCATACCAACAACCGAACTATCACAAAATGTCACATGACCAGTCTTTCTTCTCATATGCAATTGGAGCTCGATATTGTGGTGCATCGCCATCATCATCATCATCATCATCGTCATCGGAGATATCGGCTTTTGCACTTTGGTGCTTCCCGGGGTCTAAGTGTTGCGACATGGGTTGAGAGTTGTCATTCTAACAGGGGACCAAAACCTCTCTATTAGTGCCAACGTAGTCTACGGAGGGTCACAACACCTCCGCTCTCTTTGCGGAGGCACTGTTGACTACAACTAGTATGTATAGGCTCTGGGAGTCAGGCAACAATGCGCGATCAATAGTAGAATCAGATAATACTGGGGTAGCATGACTTCGTCTTTATCTGATTCCCTATGCAATCATTGATCCCACGTTCATACCTACCCGTATAGCTAGCTGGCAGACTAGATTTTTCCCGCCGCAGGTAAACCCATCAGTACGATTCTAGGACGAATCTGATCTAATACTGGTCTGCTGATCAGAAGCGAGCGAATGGACTGCCAAGTCCATGTGTACTGGCAGCGCACGACTTGCACACATAACTCCACGTATGATCTTGGAGCGCGTCCATGATGGAGTCAATATCCAGACATTACAGAAAATTAGAAATATAAAAATATAAAAATATTAATAAAAAAAGGCTGGTTTAAGGTAGATTATGTATGGACGACTCGCAGGCCAATGTTCTAACAGTACGGTTGAAAGAAGCGGCTTTGCCTCAACAGACAACGCTGGAACTTTACCACGTACTTACATACTCGTAATCGTTAATTAATAGTATCCAACACATGCGGGATAAATCCAAGTCTGTTTCCAAATACTATCTCCGCACTCTGCACAGACTAGTTTATAGCTAGTAAAAGCGAAAGCAAATGTGGAGCATTGAGTTCCATATATATATATCACTTGCCTATTCCTCTCCTGCTCAGAGTTTTTTTCCTTAGTGTGCTGAGATTTGATCCAATGCATATTCTATGCCAGATGGAACTTGGAAATAGGTAACGAGCCCTGCTGTAACCCCAGAGCGGACAGCGCAATTCTTTCAGTTGACCCTCCGAAGTAAAAAATACTATTTAGCTTTACGAACTTAGCGAATTCGATTTTCAAACCCAGGCTTAGGTAAGAATATTTCCGAGAATTTTGCTGGAACTACATACCCGTGGTCATGATGAATCGTTGCTACGTTGACGGCGATGGCTACGAATTATGCCTCCGCCCCAGGTATACAACAATACATGGACACTCAGACATGCCACGGCTATGGGAACAACTGCATGTGGATCCATGGAAGGTAGATATGTATGTATTTGCTAAGACATCGAGTTTAGGCTGTAGCTTAACAGGCTACATTCGATTGATCCTTCCAGGCCTCAATTCTATATCAGTATCGGTAAATTTCTGCTAGGCAATTGCAAGTACCCAATGTGAACAAGCTTGCGGCCGCTGCCCCTGCCTAAGCTTCCAGCTTGCCCTAGTAGGGTCATCCTGGTCCGCAGCCCGCTCACTCGGAAGAACGCTAGTACTTTCGCGTCTTTTGGGGGGTGGATAGCGCCCTGTATAGGTATCCATATGCCAGCCCAAATTTAAACTCTCCAGTCCCACTGCCCCAATGCAACGTGTCCATCTTGAGATAAGGATAGAGACGGGGGGCGGTCGGAAACCAGCAGGGATGAGTTATCTACTGTACATGCGCATGTATGCGTATGTAATAAATGCAGCTACATACAGCAGACCTCCACCGGAACCTGCAAAAAAGGGATTGGAAGAATGGTATTTGGTCACACGAAGCCTCGAGATAACCCTCGGATTCGTGACCGCTAGGTGACACTCTACATATATACTCGCCTACTCTACGAGGAGAGTTAATTGACGTTTAACATTGCGTGCGGGGTGGTTAGAGTATAGGCCTTCACTCGGTGACAGCCGAGGACAACACCTATCCAGCCTGCAGACTCTGCTCATTTTAGTTAGTATGATACATACCTCGTCTTCGGATCCTCAATTAAATTCATCACTGAACGGGAATGTCCGGATGCCATTGGCGCGGGTATGCATTTCAAAATCTCAGTATCTTGTAATAGTCGAGCCACCTGCTAGTAGATTAATTTAGCCTTTTTTGGCGGGCGGGCGGGGGAGAGGGGGGGGTGTCATTATAATACTACCGCCTCTGGTGCCCTGGGAGGTGGTGATTTTTTTTTAAAAAAAAAACAGATCAAAGAACATTTTGAGAGAAAGAATGTGCGGATGAAGGTGTTTTATACTACGACAACGTCACACGAAACTAATGCTGGTGAATGTAAAGTAAGATCTCCATGCGGTAGCGCAACATGGTGCGATACATCTATCGATCGGCGGAATCAATATTTAAAATTAAGATTGAAGGAACGCGCGATTAGTATGCATGTGTGGGCGTTTGTACAGATATCTATTATAACGAGTGGCCAAGAAAATATCCAAGTACACATGTATTTGATACCGGGGCAACTCGAGAGGGGAATATTTCCAACGGCACACCTACAGTATAGAGAGTACATCAGCTCGGGCATTTTGGAGTTGGTTTATGTATTTCAGATACCGTTTTTAAACACAAATACCGCACATTCCCAGGTGATCAGGTCGAATCCAACAAGAGACGCGCTTTCAATGGCAAATCCCTACCTGGCATCCCAAAACCACATACCTACCAGCTTCCGTTATCGAGGCAGGGAACTATGGTGTATATAAAACCTGTACTTATACTTGTATAGCTAACGCCGTATTCAGGCATAACCATAGACATATCTCAACCAACCAGATCCTGAAGCGAGTCTGTCACTAGATCTCTTCTACCGTCAGTAACATTCTAATACCTCAAACCTATCGGGATGGAGGATGAAAAGCATATACTGCACACCAGTGGAGCTTGAAGACGTATTGTCAGAGAATGGAAGTGTTGCACCAATAAATAGGTCAGGGTAACGTTATGGATATGATGTTTGAAAATCAAGCATGAACGGTTTGAGGAAACCGAACTCATACTCAGGGGCACAAAAACGAATATTAAATTATCCAGAGACTTTTTTCACTGTCGAAGAGGGTCAAAAAGTTAGTTCCGCCGGGGTTCGAACCCGAGACCTTTCGTGTGTGAGACGAAAATCATACCACTAGACCACAGAACTTGTTACACGTTAAAATAGATATAAGATTTATTTCAGCCAAGTGTGAGCCAAGTGTGGAAAGGCTACCATCCTGCTGTAAAATGTGAAATTGCCCTTCCCACTTAATTTACTTTATCATGTATCATCCAGTAAAACAGTAGTTCCCTAGCACGCAACTTTCTATGACAATTAAATACACAGAATAACACTCATACTCCTCCCCCGCGGCCGATATTACTGTTCTAAATTCTTTTGTTCGACTCTAGGGAATGCATGCCTTTACATATAAGCCTCAGCACAAGCATCCGAATTCAAGATTTGTATCATTAGTGAACAATCTATCTCTAGTTTTCATGGAAGAGAGCCTCAACTAGTGAGAGAAAGCACCAACAAATGTCTATAATTGTCAAAAGGTTGACCATATAGATAGCTAACTCCGAACGCTAATATTTTTCCATCGAATCCATTAAGTGCTAGGAGTATATTCTCAGGTTCAGCCTCTTCCATATGTAAGGCTGTTAATTACGAGATTGTGTACGCATATCCTCGCCTTCCTTGTCTCCGAAATCAGAAAATATTATGGTTGGCATTTTTGCCCAGGTGAGATAGATCCCCATTATTCTATTCTGATCGCTTGCTACATTCACATTCAGGAAGACCAAATGTACAAATCACAGTGACCCAGTTGACTGGAGTTGTATGAATTGGTCGAAACCCATGTCACATTCTTTTTCCTTCTATCTTCTGACCTTGTGACCAATGGCAAGGCGCGTGACTGCGATTCCGTGTCAGCTCCGAGACCACATCGGGATCAAGAGATTCTAGGTTGTATTAATTTATTTATTTCTTTTTAAAGTCACTACTTGCATGCGGCATAAGGCTAGGCGAGGTGTGATTCTAGGTTCAATTCCTAGCAAGGTCGTCTACTAATATCTTGCTTCGTTATTTTCGGTATCGGTGCAGGGGGGGGAAGAAATTTTCTCGCTTGGTCAGCTTAGGTTTAGTCTGTAGCAGAAAAGTTGCAGCTTGCCTGAATCAGGCAGGCGGTCAGGGCAAGGACTTAAGGTGACCTCGTGGTTTTAACAGGCGAATAGGAGATTGGTGGTGATGTGCATAATCACATAATCACTGCCAGTGTTTAGGCTAGCCGTTCCGTCTCATGGCATATGGACTTGGATTGCTCTGACATTGGGTGGAGAATTGATGCTTATGCTTTGAATAACATGTAAGAAAAGCAGTACGGTAGTTCTTGTATGTATGATATTCTGGGTTCTTCCCGAAGTGAGAAACATGACAACGCCTAGCTGACAATATGCTCCCACACATTAATCCAAATCTATTGAGATTCCCCCATGCCTAACCTGGCCTGCATTGTTGGAAAGAGCTTGCCCCGTTTTACCTCGTTACACACCTATGGAACGCCATCCGAATCGTATTGAAATTTTTCACTCAAGGGAGCTCAGCCGAGGGCATGACCATGCTTTGCCATAGAAGCTTACTAACTCCGCAAGGAGTTTTCTGCCCAACGGAATACCAAATGGGCAGGTGCAAATATAGGACACTCATTTATGCATACGAAACAAGATAGAAATGCCAGTAATACTTCTTTCTTCTTCCAGTTTCAGATTTACAGTATCAGAGGCAGAGGGTGATTCACATGGTCACCAGATAGGCCTGGTTGAATCAATTAATGCAGAATCAGACATGTACTCACTGTGCACAGTTTGTACCGGGCAAGAAAGCATAGATTGCGTCTTGGCAATTCGCGTGGCATCATATTTCTCGGACTTTTCTCACATGGATTTCCTCTAGCTACCTAGCCTAGCCATTCAAAATTCAAATATTCCTTCTGGAGAATTTCCCTGATGTTATGTTTGCAGCTCACTGCGGTAGATAAGATGCTAAAATAAGAAAATACCTACAACTTTTCCACGTTACATTCTAAATATAAAGCAGTAAAAACATACACTCTCAGCTCTAGATCACGTGCATATCTGTAGATGACGTCGGTCCCCTCCGATAGGCAAGCACCTCAGAAAAGCCAACAAGCCTTCCCCAGCCTGACCGTTGTAATACCTTCCAAATGTGGACTTCCCTTCCTCGTAAGCTTAGGTGAGCACAAATGCCAAAAGAAATTTCCACGGGAACTACATACTTTTCATTGCAAGTTTGTTTCCGCGCTCGCCGATCATAGCGCACTAGCGCTGGCTGAGAATGGACAGCAGACCTCACATGGTCAAGCTAGGATTTTGTATCTAGTGGAGTAGAGACCGAGAACAGTACCTTATCTAATTGGGAAATTTTTAACGTCCAAACCACTGCTTATGACACAATTCATGAGGTGCCGAACTTTATACGGCGAGCTTGGCGCAACTAATTATGCCATGTTTGAAGCAACGATGGTTACTTCTAAATGATTTTCATTTTCTCTTGTGATTGTGGGAAGATACGCACAGCTCACAACTTTTATCTGGGAAGACGGATGCAGACCGATCTTGACCCCCACTAAAACGATGTTCAAGGCCGTATCCCGGTTGCGGGATTTCGGATTATTACACTGGCAGGTATAGCAGCGAAAATAGATTGACCGCCGATCCGCGGTGACTGAATTGTACAGGCTCGAGACATCTACTCTAGTGCGCGAATAATGTTCCCGTGGAAATATTGGAAGCACCATAGGTACGGAATTCGATGCCATTATTGGTATCAAGATCCGGAGTTGTGCCTAGTAAAGAAAAGGTCAGCCCCACAATTGCACTAATCAAGCTGGAACTGCATCGGACCTGAGACAATGATCAGACTGAGGTAAAAACTGGTCATGCACCCGAGCGAATACTAACCGACTTATCTCTGCTTGTCTGTCAATTGACATTGCATTGCATTAATCGGATTGCAAATATTTGTAGAGCAATGTCTCTGTACAGAGTAGCCTTATATGCTAAATATAGACACACTTCCGATTATATAATTAATTTCAGTGCCTATATAGTTTGAAATGCATGACATGCTAGCAGTTGGGGGAAAAAGGCTCAAATTACTTCCGTGTATAAGCGGACAGCTATGAATGACTAGTTACGATGATGTTACCCTGGCTTCGAGTCTGTTGTATTCGCTTCTAAGGATCAGTTACATGGCACAAGCCTAGGCACAAGCACACTCGCAATGGGAAGGGAAATGCACATAAAAGAAAATATATAATGAAAAAAAATTCTCTCTGGCGGGGAATTGAACCCCGGTCGCCCGCGCTCAGTCAATTAATGACAGGCGGGAATACTTACCACTATACTACCAGAGACGCTTTTGTATTTACCTTCTGCATAATAAAAATAGAGATAAAAGTGTTATCATGACAACCAGATCTATGCAAAATTTTTTTACACCACAAGACTACGCCCCCCACGAATGGCTCCGGAAATCCTTCTTTGTATTACTTGGAATTCTAAGGACATAAATTTTATTCTGTCCGACTCTTAGATACAATTTTCATAATTGGACAAAGTTATAGTCTCTGTTTACACGTCGATGTTGTAAATTCGGCACCCAGGCCACATACTTATCTCCCATATCTTTCTTGAAGATGAGTTGTCTGTGCAGGAGTATTAGAGAATGATATGTTCTTAATATGGTTGAAAGGGCCTGGCACTTTTGCGGTGGAGCACCTTTGGTGGGAAACTTTGACACATCTGCCGCGATAACAATTGTGGAGATAGGGTCTTGTAAGTATGAGAGGGACAAATAGTTCGATGGACACGCGAAAATGTACTTTCGGCTAATCAAGCGAATGCTAAACGTGCATGTGCTGGGCATAAGTCAGGAGACAGCCAGACCTTTGTCAAGGCGATATTTACTTGATTTACATTAACAACAAGACTATCTAATTATAGCCGTCACACCATTAAGCGCGATTCTCGGCAGCTTTAACCCTAGTTATATATTTTTCACGCTACCATAATGCAAGTTTGCAATTTGGGCAATTTGGCCAAATTGGCATAGTGAGATTCCTGTTGACGGTCTGTCAACACTATATCAATTGGCTGACAGCAAGATGGGCTTAGCTTTTCAATTAACCCATGCAGTTGGTACTTCCTTTCGCTTAAGCTTGAGAGTGAAGCGCCCTATCGTCATCGACAGGTTCCCATGCTAAATTATTAGCTCAGTTATGTATGTACTCCGTAGGTACTGCATTATAGTATCACAGGTTGTTGCTCGCAGTCCAGTCTGGCAAAGGAATGTTCTTCCGTATTTGCTTGCGTATGTACTAATAATTATGAGTTACCCCGCAGATGTTCCACCCAACATTCCAAAGAAAGCAAGACGCTAAATAAAACCCGACAATCGCCCGATTTGCTTCAGCTATTAAGAGATGCGGGTATTAAACATCCAATCAAAAACAGAAGAGAGTTGCAGTGAGAAAAGAAGATCTTCAACAAAGGTTATAGAAAAATATGAAAAAAGGATATTTACAATGAAAAGAAGAAAATAGGGATCACAGCAAGCAATAAAATGAATAGCATCCGAAATCCAATTCCTCTCGCGACCTTAGGACCACCATGGCTGACAGAATTGCTCATACCGTTCTCCTGCGGATACCGATACCAATGACCAGAATAGCTTCCAAACACAATCCAGATCCCTTAGCCCATCCATACACATCATCACTATTCAGCACTTCTAATAAGTATCCCCATCACCATCCAAATCCACCACACGACCATCCAACAAGACTGGGTAGATGATCTCCACTTCAGAGGTAATTCCTCCAGGCATTTCCTTAGTGACCTTTGACAGATATTCTTTATCTCCATAGGCGGGTAGAATGTTACCATACCTCAACCCTTCAGGATACTTCCCCTCTTGCATGTAGACACCAACCTTCCAAGTCTTTAAGCTTGATGTAGGAACTTCATAGATCTCGTCATCTCCGGTAGTGAAGCAGACCTTGAGGTTATCATGGAGCCACTTCTCGACCACAGAAACGTTGTCAATGTTAACTTTCCTCTCGATAAGGTTATCTGTGATCGGATAGTCCTGGGAATATGCCATCGAGTCATGACGGACAAATGGAGCACCGAATGATGAGAACCCAGCGATACGATCCTTGGACATGAAGTAGTCATTTGGTGAGACCTTGCCACATGGTTGAGATGTGAACAGGATGTGTCCCGTCCAGGAACCAGGAATCTCAGAGTGATCAATCGTGCAACGAATACCATACTCGTTCCTGACAACGACAGGCTTATCCTTTCCGGGAGTGAATCCTGGTTGGTGAGGGTATCTTTTCGGGTCTGGCGACGCATAGGCGTCTGGACTTGCAGCAGCGGAGCGACGAGTCTTTTTGCTGACTCCAGTGCTAGTGGTTGCATAAAGCGCATTGACTTTTTGACGGGCGAAGGCAGAGATTTCGCTGCGCGTAGCCCCGCTAGTGTACATAGAGCATGGGATTTCATCGTATCCGTAGCGATATTTCCAAATAGTTCCAACAGATTTAATCTCATTACTTTTCCACCATGCTCCGCTAGGCAACCTGAAGGGGTACAGATTAGTGAAAAGGTCATCGTTTGGACCATCAATGCCGGGAACAATCCTGCCGAATGTAGCCCTTCCCGGGGATGGTTGGAGTCGATTATCCGGGTAAATGGCTTGATAGAGTGCTACCATACGATCAACGTTGCCGTGGTGAAGCCAAAAAATCGGATCAAAGGAAGCCACGTTCGTAACGGACATATGTCCCAGGGGGTTGGTGCCTCCTATATTAGTGTGAATTTGATTGTGGATACCCTCTAGCTGAGAAGCCATGCTGTTGAAGCTCGTCATGCTAAACAATTGGTATGTTTGTTGCCTCCTCGTTGTAAATCCGTTCCGCATTATCGTATTAGCGTCCGCATTGACTGGTGTTGGATCACTAGAGCTGCGAGGATGTCGGGTGGTGTACATCCAGTTTGCGTAATTTCCAGAGAAATATTGTTTCAGGGTTGCTGCGCTCTGGAAGTTATACTGGAAGAGGGGGTTCGGGATGGTTGATGACACTGGAGTTCCATTAGAGCTAGGTTTGGTCACCGAGATAGTGGCCTGCATCATAATAGCTGGAATATCCGACCTGGTGACTGGATCCGACCAATCCCAGTATGGTAGGCGGAGTTGGTCCGCGGCTGTCCTGTAGGCTGCTGCACTGCTACCAGTGAACTTTGCTGCAATTGCAACCGCGCGTGCTTGCAGTGCTTGCTCCAGCAGGAGAGTATAAGGTCTATGCCATGTAGCAAAGAGCGGGCCTCCATGGACACAATACCCCAAGCCTTGATTGAAGTTTCCAGTGGTTCCTCGAGGCCAGGACATATATGGTGCCCCATGAATACCGCCAATTCCAAACCAACTCAAATCACCAACCTCTGGCTGTTTCTGGAGATCCTCGAGTGCACAAATCAACATATTGAATTGGGTCGCGTGTGATGTTTGGAGAGTCTGGATTTTGTAACGGTGGTAACAAGCTCCGTTGGTAGACTGAGCACCCCTAACGGGAATGCTAGCAGGGGTTTGACGCTTCTCAATATCCGCGGTGGGGGGTACTCCAGGGTCGGAGTTGGCATTGATACCAGCATCTCGCTTCGACAGGTAGGAGACGGGAACGCATTGTCCATATACTGTTCACTTCATTAACATGCCAACTTCAAAGATTATAATTGTAGCAGGAAGACGTAGACGGGTTGCGATTGAATGAATACATACCAGAATTGACGGCGTCGCATTTGAAGCCACTGGGACACGTGCCCTTCTGTTCTGTGCCATTGCTGCATTCCCCCCAGGCCTCGGCTCTTGCGGCGATGACGGTCGGTTTTGCGGATACCCCTAGGGCTGCAGCGAGGAGGATAAGGTACCCAGACCGCATTGTAATGACTAAGGGTGATCTCCACGAAAACGAATGTCGGGTAAGGGACTCTCGAAAACTGGATCCTTCTGGTACGGAAATATAAAGATATAGAGTAAATTTGAGTAAAGCGAGTGTGACACGGCAGAAAATTCTGGTCGGATCCGGTGGGATGGTGATACTATTATATCATATATGGGGTAAAGGAAATGAATAAACCGCTTCTATATATAGGTAGGTATAGTGCACCTAGGGCTGATAGATTGACAGGCTATTGTGTGTGCTGTACATAGCTGCGCGGTCAAAACCAGACTAGCGATGCTGTAGGAGTACGTCGAAAAGGGGTTGGGAGCAGGGGGATCGTCTTATGAGAATATCTAAGGACTTTCGTATCCAATGGTGACACAATTTCTTTCCAATGCAGAAATGCACAGATCTAGTGTTCCAGTTCTGACATTGGGCGAAATGAACTAACTATTGATCGGGGCAAAAATTCCAAAGCTTGTCACTTGATGGGGTAAAACTAGATCAGGCAGCAAAAAGATCCAATCGGTGTTGAAGTGGGGAAGGATTTTACAGGGGATGGTTCTGAAAAGATTCCAGTGTCAGCAGGGAGGGCTGCAGCCGGATAAATGGTATGAGCTGAGAGTAATCGAGAACCATGGCAGCATACATAGTTATTTCCACACACGGAGAAATAATTAGGCAGCTCTAGACCTGAAGAGGAGCCTAATATACGGGAGAAAATTTGCTGGATTCCAATCACACCAACCATAACAGCTTGTCTTGGAGCGCCAGTGGAAACCAGGGCACTCATTCATACATACAATGATCATTGTAGGTATTAGAACTGATACTGTATGTATATATTTATATGAGCACCTCATTTGCTATTGCCCTGGTTGACAACTGGACGTTCAGGATGGGGCAACTATTGGCCATCGCATCTAGTGGTAGGTTATCATCCCCCAGTTCGTAACCTAAGGAGAGCCACTAGGTATTGTCCTGTTTGTTTTCAGCTAAGGCAGTGGATATCTCCCGAGTCCCAGTCGAGCATAGCGCGGTGAACGTGGCGTTCTGTGTTACAATCCAAGGAAATTTACCAGTGCCGAGACTATTTCCAGGCTGCTGGATACCGGAACGGAAAGGTGCCTTTTCGTAAATACCCCTGATCCACAATTGAACTCGTGTGGATGGGTTGCCGAGACAGCCGGCGCGTTAGGTGTATTTAGAGTACTGAATTCACCGCACAATCAAACATCTGGTGGAGTTTACGTAACGCAACAAAAAAGGGTGTTGGTACCTGTAACATGTTGTATTAAGAACAAAAACAAATATAGAAATCTGTTACTGGTTGTCTTATTAGGACTGGAGTATGTGTGGCTTCTTAGCCCCTATCGATGGCTTCGGTCTTGTATTTTCTGAGCTTCCTC